GGGGGCGGGGGGGCTGTCCTTGTCTGGATGTCAAGAAGTGGGGCCAGGGGGACTTTCCCTTGGTTATTTCGAACAAATGGCCACGGAACTATGGAGAGAGGCGAGGATTCCTGCCCAGAATCGGGGATCAGACTGGTTAGGGCCCCGTGTGTGTCTGTGTCACAGTGCAGGTGCTCTGTCCTGAGAACGTCAGCCCCCCCCTGAGGGCAGATCCATGTGTTCTGCTCTCTGCTGTAACCCCCAGGGCCTGGAGGAAGCTCTGTGCCTTCAAACATAGTAGGTGCTCAATAAATACTTGAATGGCCCACCATCGAATCGATGCCTCTGTGTGTGTGTCTGTGTGCATGTGTTAAGGTCGGTGTGATGTGCCTAAGTGTAGGCGAGGGTAGCGGTGCAAAGGCCGGGCAGGGAAGCCTTGCCCCTCCCCTGGTCCCCACGGTCCGGCAGTGGCGGGTGGAGACACCCCCATCCTTACGGCTGGGAGGGTGGGCAGGCAGCGCGTGTGGCAGGCTGGGGCGGGGGCGTGCGTGCAGCCAGCTGGAGCTGGGGAGCCACAGCAGGGCAAGTGGGAGGGAGGGCCTGCAGGCAGTGGCCGGCTCACTCTGCAGAGCCCTTGTGACGTCGCTTGGAGGGCGGCACCAGGCGACGGGGCAGGTTGGTGGGCAGCCCGTGGCCCTCCAGCTTGGCCTCGATGAGGTGGCTGGCCAGGGCGAACTCCTCGTCATCCAGCATGCCGTCCCGGTCGACGTCGCTCAGCTTCCAGATGCGCCCCAGCACCGAGTTGGGGAGCTTGGTGCCCACCATCCAGGTCTTGGCCTTGGTGCCGCTCAGCTTGCCATCGGCCGGCACCAGGTTGTAGAAGATCTCGTCGTACTTGGACTTGTCCTTGGTCACCACCCACTCGGCCTCATCGTCCGAGCCCTCCTCGCCGTCCTCCAGGGCCTCATCGGGCCCCCGCTCCACGAACGGGCCCATGTGGGTGCCCTCGAAAGCGCCGCCCTGCACGCCCACCTCGGTGTTCTCCAGCTCCTCCTGCCGCAGCAGGGGCATGAGCTTAGCGATGTCGTGGGTCAGCATCT